ATTGTTTTCCAAGTAATTCTTCCAATTGTTTCTTCAGTTCTGTCAATTAAGAAGGGGACATCCTATATGGTGCCATAGAAATTGGTCCAGTTCCAGGCATTAAATCTATTGAAAATTCAATCTCTCTGTTGGGTGGTAAACTAGGAATATCATCAGGAAAAACTTCAAGAAAATTTTGAACAATTGCTATTTTTTTCAAATCGACTTCCTCTTTTACTTCCATAGAAGATAGTAACAAATATCCTTGAATTTTGTTCTTTAAAGACTCATTTACTGAGTTGGTAGAGAAACTCAAAAGATTTTCAGAATTTAAAAATATTACTGATTTTTTTGCACAATTTAGAAGGACTTGATTAGAAGATAATCAGTCCATACCCAGGATTACATCTAATTAAGATAAAGGTAGACAAATTAAATTTACAAGGAATTTCCTGTTTTCAATGAACAAAGGACAATCTAAACAAATTTTATTGGTGATTACAGACTTACTTGTGGGAGTTGAAACAATCAAACTAGTATCTAGAAAAGAAGTTGGCAATTCAAGGTGTTGGACACAATCATTGGAAATAAATGCATGAGTTGCGCCTAAGTCATACAGTACATTTAAAGTTTTATCTTTAATGAAACACATACCTTCGATCAAATCAGTATTCTGAGAAGCTTTAGTTCCATTCATGGTATATACTCTTCCTGTTGTCGAAGGTCTTCTTTTTGGTGTAGAAGGATCAGAATTTGGTTTTTGTTGCCGACATTCAGAGAATATATGACCAGGTTTCCCACACTTGAAACAGACAGGTCCTTTAAGATGACAATCTTTAGCATAATGATCTTGTCCACACTTAAAACACTTGAGATGATTATTTATATGGTTATTAAAATTTCCTGCAGAAAATTGATTGGGTTGGGATCTCCAGTGGGAGCGGTTGTAAGGTTTTTCTTCATTTTGTCGCCTTTTATTATGCTGGGGTCCAAAAGATTTTGGTTTACTATTTTGATGGTTTTCAAAATCTTCCAAAAATCTGCATTTATGAATAAGCGTAGGAAAATCAGAAATTTCTAGTATTATTACCGCTTTTCTCAATATGGGCCTAAGTTCATTTTCAAATTTTATACACTTCACTCCTTCGATAAAAGAATGCAGAGTTTTTTCATAGCTCTTCAAACTTAGAGGCATATTCTCCTACTGTCATACTTCCTTGTTTTAATTGCATAAACTCTATTTCTTTCGTTCTTCTCATATCATTGGAAAAATATTTTTCTAAAAATTTTGTTCTAAACACCTCCCAAGTAATGATTATTCTTCCTCCTTCTAGTAATCTCCTGGTACTATCTCACCAATATTCAGCCTCTCCTATCAACATAAACACTAGGCATGACAACGGGGCGGGGCGGGAGTGGGTTTTGCCTCCTCGTCCCCGACTTTTTTAACCACCCCGTCCCCACCCCCGATCCCCGCGGGGTTAGAAATTAAGTCTCCATCCCCGTCCCCGCTGGGTTTCGGTTCCCGCCCCGCCCCGTCCCCGATTTATATTATTTTTAAAAAGATAATTACATTTATAATAAATTAATTTTTCTATCTATTTTTTATATATAAATAAATATTTATAATTATTATTAATTAAATATACATTTTAATTTATTATATTTATACTAAAATATGTATGTAAAAGAAATATTTAATCATTTTTTATTTATAATATTATTATTATTATAATACTGTATTCAAATATTTGAATATTTATAACACTATTATTATAATACTGTATTCAAACATTTGATTATATATATAAGTTAATTCATTTTTAAGTTGTCATTTAAAAATATGAAATATATAGTTTATAAGGAAATATTTAATAAGTTAATTCTTATTCAATTAGTTCAAAGTAATAAAAATTTAAATTATCAATTCCTTTAATCCTTTAAAATACAATTATTTTATTGATAAAATTTGATATATGATAAATAAGAATAATAAGATAAAAAAATATGACATAATAAAACCTAATAAATATAAATTATAAATAAAATAATATTATAGTTACTACTAAGATTTATGTAAAATATTTAGAAAAAGATAAAGAATAAAAAAAATTAACTTTGTGTTCATCAAATTGGTTGAAAAGATTGAAAAAAAAAACAAATTGATGGGAGAAATTAAGGAGATGTGAAAAACTGAAAGGTAAGAGAAAGAATAATGTAATAAATTAATTGATATAAAAGATTAAAAAAGACAAAAAAATTAAAAAGTGGGTAGAAGAAAAAAAAATTTGTGAAATATAAAAAAATGACCTTATATGTAATAGAAAAAGAAAAGGAAATACTTTTAAAATAATAATATTTTAATATTTAAATTTAAATATAAAGTCGGGCGAGGAACGGAGACGCGGTCGGGGTGGGGATTGCATTACTCATCCCCGCCCCCGACTTTTTAAAGCGGGGAAAACCCGAACCCGCCCCTGTCCCCGGTCAACTCGGGTTTTCCCCGTCAAACTCGGGGCGGGGACGGGTCGGTCCCCACGGAGACGGGTTTAATTGTCATCCCTAATAAACACAGCATAATTCACCTTTTGGTCATCAGGACAATTCATAAGTTGAAATATGTTTTCCAATTCTTTAATCCATAATTCAGCCTTTTCTGGGTTATATCCTCCAGAAAATTGCGGAGGCTTGTTTCTCCTAAATTCAACTAAACTTTGTGATCCATTGGTTCCTTCAGGTCTTTGGTTCCTTAATAATGCAGCGACCATGTCTCGGATAACTTGTACCGCTTCTGTCAACTCGTTTCTTCTATTATTTGCCATATGGAATTATATAAGTTAGGATTCATAAGATATCATGATAGACTCATTTTACAGGTCATACATGAAACGTTGCTCTGATACCATTTAATGTGACATTAATAAGAGTAGGAGGTCAAAAAATATTACATATATGTAAAAGTAATTTACATCACTATATAAGATATACAAAAAAAGAAGGAATTTTATTTTTGATTCCTTCTCTTTTTTTCTACAATTTTACAAGTATCTACATTGTCGGTAGAAACAAACTGATTAAGGGGTTTTGAAAAAATGTAGGAGGCATACAAAAGGTAACTACTACTGGCCCATCTAACATAATGGGATTTCTCATATCAGATACAAATGTTATTATTGAAAATCCTGTCCCTCTAAAAGTAACCGAGTTGTCTATAACATTCGTGTTCCAAGTAGTTCCTAGAAAGAAGGCAGTGATGCTTGCAGAAAAGGGATTTGGAATATTTGGCACCTCCATCTACTTAAGTTGGTGTTTAAATAAAACATGCACAAAAGATCACAACAGGGAGTGAGAACATTTATCATTTACAATCTTATAATATATAGATATATATGTTTCAATTTCCTCAACACATTCTATTTTATGAAGATTTAAATTAAATTTGTAGTGACTAGTCAGGATAAATGAGCTCAATTTTAATCACTCTCACAGTGATATTTACTCATTTAAATCCCCAAGGTTCAACCTCTATCTACAATATCATCAAATCTTCACAAATATATATTATTATGATTGAATAATATAACTATAAATTAATAAATAGAATTATTGCATTACTAGAGATAAAATAAACAGGACCAATACATAACTGGAGATAATTAAAATAGGATCAGTGTAAGACTGGAGATAAAATAAAATAAACAAACAAGATCAGTATCTAACCTGGAGATAAGTAAAATAGGACCAAGTGCAGAGACTGGAGATAAAATAAAATAAATAGAATGATGTTAGGGACACCTCACTCTACACCATAAGTAAGAAAAAAAGAATATTGATGAATGTCTCTTCCCCTTCCTTAAGAGCTACAAATGAGTTACCAAAATTTTGGTCAAGACAATTTTTTTTTCTTTCTCTTTTTCCTCTCTTTCTCTTCTCTTTCTCTTTCTCTCTCCTTCTTTTTCTTTTTCCTTCCTTCTCTCTCTTCCTTTCTCTCTTTCCCTCTTTCTCTCTCCTTCTTTCTCTCTCTTCCTTATTCTTTCTTTTTTTTTTCTCCCTCAACTTCCCCCTATCTCTTTTTATAGCTTTTTTTTTTTTTTTAATGAAATCATTAAAATCATTAATAACTTGGATAAAACTTACCATTAAGATAAGTTAACCTTATCTTTCAATTTTTTTTTTTTGAGATATTACATTTATTATTTCTTAGTATTTAGTGGAGTTTTCTCTTTTAATAATTTTTTTTCAATTAAATAAGACTTGAATCTAAAATCTTATTTAAGAAAACTGAGTACCATACTACTCAAACCGTACAATAAAATAAAATAAAAAGAGATTTAAAAATTAAATAATTTTTTCAAAGATAAAACTCATAATCTTTACTCATCAATAATATTAAAAATGTTCCAGGCCATACAATTTACACGGTGCCTCTGTTGTATGGTTAAAAATAACACCTTCAATGCTCTTATGGTCTCACTTTATATATATATATATATATATATTCAAACCCAATAATAAGGGTAGTTAAACCATATATATACTCAACCTAAATAGTATAGTGGTAGAATTCCTTCCACTCCAACAGGGACACACTATAACATGATGTCAATATAATAAAAAGAACATTACCTTTGACAATAAACTCTACACTGAGAAGACTTCGACCAATGAATGAAAGACTTTTCATTTTATCGTAATTTCACTTCCATATTGATCTTCCTTTCCGTCTCACACAACTAACATAAAACATTCTATGCAAACAATTGGTATAGAGTAGGATGCAGATAATGAAGGCCAATGAAATGCAGTCATCATTTAAGATCAAAAAGTGGATTGTTGTAGCAGAGGATAAATCCTAAAAGATGGATCAAAACAAAAAACTCTCGGAGGGGCATTAATCTGAAGTATAAAAAAAAACAGCTCAGATATGTACAGCGAAGGAGCCAAATGGAAGAACTTTATTTATTTGATGAAGCAAAATTTGATAGCTAAACATTTTACAATGTGAAGATAACATCACTTTTCTAATCTCCAGAACTGTCTGTCTCGGAACCATTACTAACAAAATGTCTATGACCATCATCACTTCTCACTCTTGGAGAAGATAGACCTTTTATAGAGCTTTCTGTCTCAGAACCACTACTATTGCCATTATTAACAATTGGTATATAACCGACTTCTCTCGCTCTGGGATCATAACCACTACAAACAGTTTCTCTATGATTATTGCTTCTTGGTCTTGAAGAAGTGGAACCTTTTGTAGAGCTTTGAATTGAATGAATTTGGGGATCGTACTTCTGGGATTCGAGGTAATTTAGAGCTGTAACCACATCAGCTATGACAGGCCGCATATTAGCTTGCTCTTGAACACACATGGCAGCAATAGCAAGAGCTTGGTACAAACCTCTTACTGGATACTGACCTAGAAGCAACGGGTCAACCATCTCACAGAATCTTTTTCGGTCTTTGAACAAAGGTCTTGCCTGGAAACAAATATAAATGCATTATAAGGTAGTGATTTTGGAAGAAAAATGATTGACAATAGAGCAACAACCTTAAAAATAAAAACTTCTCTTCACCATCATCAATAGTGAGAGTTTCATATTCAATCTTTAGGAATCAATTTTGCGAAATATAATAAGGTTTACAACAATAAAATGTTCTAATCATTTGAAACAATGCAAGAAAAATCATCCTATAAAGTGATTGTTGTCCCTATAACTTAAAATGATTGGAACCGCCACTGGTAATCAACCTACTCATTTGAAAAGTAATGTGTTCAATCCTACGAAGGATACATAAGGAGATTAATGGATTAATGTTACTAAGGGACAAAGGCTAACGAAGTTTTATTTAAATAAGGAGTGTTATTGCAGACTAGCCATCAAAATAAGAGTTTAACTGAACTTTTTTGGATCAGATATCATTCTAGTACATTAATAAAGTTCTTAAGATTTTGAACTTCAAGATGATGTGCACCAAATTAGCACTATAACCATACAACTTCGAAAGTAATTGGCATATCAAGTTACCTACAACGCGTCCAATTCACTTGAAACACAATACAAGCAAAAATAATTTGTTTCACATATGAAGTTCCTCATCAATTAGTGTTATATTCAGTGACCGTAAAGGAAAAGCAATACAATAATCTGTGTAGCAACATGATTAATGTATTTATTTTATACCTATCTTAAATCTATATTTAGTAAGCACCTTCTTGCAAGAGATAAGCAAATCAAAGCTTCCAAATTTCTTATTATCAAAATCTTAAGCAGTATTCAAGTTTATTAAATGCATTAACAATTGATGCGTAGCAACATTGTAAAATATATACCAATAACAAAGTTGAATAAAAGACAATTCACATACCCATGCAACTAGACTTTGTTCTTTAGCAGGTTTCTTATTGTCAATGGCCTTCCTCCCCGTGATGATCTCCAAAAGAACAACTCCAAAGCTATAGATATCAGATTTGAACGTCAATTGACCCGTCATTGCATAATCTGGAGCACAATACCCATATGTTCCCATGACTCTTGTTGACACGTGGGTCTTATCTCCACTTGGTCCTACCTTTGCCAAGCCAAAATCAGATAACTTGGGATGATAGCCCTCACCTAACAAAATATTGGAGCACTTCAAGTCACGGTATATGACAGGAGGCTTCATTTTATCATGCAAATACTCTAAACCTCTAGCTGCACCAGCCGCAATTTTCATTCTTGTATTCCAATCAAGTGGTTTTCTAGTACGGGGAAGATCTGACAAAAAGAACAGAAAGAATATATAAGCCATAGAGACAGAGACTATCATTACCAACACATTTTATTCTATCTGAAGAAAATTAAGATATTAAAGATAGAATATACCCTGCAAATGCTTCTCCAGAGATCCCAATGGCATGTACTCATAAACCAATAGTCTCTGCTCTCCCTCAGCACAAAACCCAATTAACTTGACCAAATTAGGGTGCTTTGCCAAACTCAATGTCAATACTTCAACAACAAATTCCCTAATTCCTTGATTCCCATAAGGGTCTAGCTGCTTTATTGCCACAAACTACACAGACAATAACAAGCCTCAATATCACCAAACACTAAACATATGGAAACTAAAATGATGTCATGTGAAAATATCATAAACATGAAAGACATGACAAAAGGTGGATTAAAATACATTGTATTTATTTAGGTACCCAATTTTGGCGAACCTGATTTATTTTCTCTATGCGCCCCTTATAAACCTTGCCAAACCCTCCTTCACCCAGAAAGCAATCTGACCTAAAATTCCTTGATGCAGCTGCAAGCTCATCAAAAATAAATGTTTGTGCCCGGTAACTTTTAACTTTTCCTTCATCAGAAACCTCTTTTAAATTCAATTTCTTCACGTCTAGAGATAGCTGATCAGGCTTACGATTATTATCTTCTCTTTTACCATTATCATTCAAATCAACTTTGACAACTACAAAAAATTGCACACACACACACATACATACGAAATTAAACATCATGTGAAGGAGAGAGATCAAACAAAATGATGCGTAAATTCATCTAAAGATACCAGAAATGACATAAACCTGCAGCTATTAAGTTTAAAAGGAAGAAAGAAACAAAATGACAAGCACCGGGTTGGATTATGGATCGCACCATTCAATAGACAACAAAATTAAAAAAGAAAGAAAGAAAAAAAAACCACATTATGGTTCATGGAAGAAGGAAAAATTAGAGAGTTCAAATTTATTCCATCCACATCCAAAACTCACTCTAAAATTCCCAGAAACCAGCAAAATAAATTGCAACGTCAAACAAATCCATTTTTTTATTCCACGTGTCAAAACATAACAAAAATTTATTGATTCTAGAGTGGAAAGAAAAAAAATACCAGTTTACATAGATGAAAAGAAAGCCTCGATCAATTCATGATAAACCCAAGTCCAAATTTTTATTTATTTTTTCGTTAACAACAAAGATTAAACGCGATCACAAATAATAGGTGGACCAGTTCCGTAGTAAAATGCATGAAAACATTAACAAACTACATCCATTGGCGAAATTTACCAGCAGCAATGCGCTTCTGAGTGCGGTTAACGTTGTTGTTAGATTTTTTGCTGGATTTCCCCGCGCAACGAAAGCAACCCATTTTTTTTTTTTTTTTCGTTTTATCTCCGTTCAAGGCTTAAACCAGGGAAAATAGCCCAGAACGGAGTCCCTAAACATGAAAAAAGAGTGTCAGAAAGTGTGTATGAAAAAGAGGAAGAGAGAGAAAGAGGATCCAGTTGTGGCCATTTCTGGGTTCTTAAATATATTCTGGTTCTAGGTAGAACAAGGTGAACAGTACATGCGTTGTATGAAAAAAATAAATAAATAGAGAAAGCGTTACCAAATAAAAGAAGCCACGAAAAATCTAAAGGGTATTTTCGTCCTTTAGAGGGGTTATAGATGATAAACTCAAAGGCCTGTTTGGGTAGCTCAGTTTGCCTTCAATATAAAACAACACCTTCTATGCTCATCGGTGTTCACTGTTACAATTAACAAACACTGTTTCGATGACGTGGCAAATTTAATTGAACCTTCCAATCATGCGCCTCTAATTTTAAATGACGTGGTGAATTTTTAATGCCTTGGTCAAACGCGCAGAAAGAAGGGCATATTTATCATAAAATTCAAACACCAGATGAATTTTAGATGATTCAGCAGCTTCATCTTCTTATCACTTTTAATTTCAAAATTTACTACATATTTACTATTATATTTAATAATTCAAATAAAAAGTGGTTTAAATGAAAAAATAATAATGTTTTTCTCCTCTGTGTTTATGTTTATAATCTGTCAATTTTTTGGTATGTGGCGATTATTTTGAAGAAATTATGTAAATTTTTTAAATATCAATAAGAATATTAAAAATCTTATGATTAATATGATTAGATCAATTTTTATATTTAAAATATTATTTGTTTTGTATCACGATTTTATTATTAAAATTTTTTTAATTAAAATATAATATATTATTAAGATGTTTTTTTTAAATAAAAATATGATAAATTAAAATTTATAAATAAATAATACATCGAATATAAAAATTGAATATTTTTATAATATATAAAATTGGGATTATTATCTTTAAAAAAATATTAACATTTATTATAGATCAAAAATAAAATCTAACTTTACTCTTGTCTTTTAGTCTAAAATTTATCTCATATCACTTATTATAATTTATATATATATATATATATATATATTTAATAACTGAAACATTATTTAAAGATAAATTTTTTTTATTAAATCGAATTTTATCTAAAATTTTATGACAAAAATAAAGATAACGTGAGATTCTCGTTATCATTCCATATAAAAAAAGTGATTGTAGACACTCATTTTATTTTAATTTTTATTATAAAATGTATAATTTATCTTGTTATACATTTAAAATATTTTATTGAGTTAAATATGTTTCATTGTTTAAAAAGAAGTAAGAAAAAATAACACTATTTTTTGTATTTATTGTGGAGTGCAATCAGTTAAGCATTTTAAGTGGATGAATGAGATAGAGTTTTGTTTGCGTGATGATTATGAAAAACATACTACTAATTTACAGCACAAAAACCCTCTCTCTCTTACACTAAAACACGTTTTAAGACGCGATTCAACAACTGGCAAAGATATTTGGGTGGAGATTAACTTCGTGGAACAACAACACGTAGTTTCCAGAATTTTATTCACAAATAATATATTTTAAACATTATTTAAATAAAACTCCTTTTTGTTTATTATTTAACATGTAAATAAATTGGTCAGACTTATATTTAAGTTTTTTAATTTTTAAATATATGGTTTATGTGAGGGGATCTCCAATATTTTGTTGAGATTTATTTTCACCATACGATGTTCTTAACCTTAAAGCTGTTAGAAACAACTTGTTGGGCCGGCTATTTACGAAAATTGGGCCGACAACAAAAGGTAAGCCCATTATGAAACAACAATCAAATCCAATAACGCTTTGGATGACTACTCTGCCTGCAGCTCCCTGTCTCCTCAAACGACGTCGTTCCAAAGCCGAATGAAGCATCGGAGCGAGAAAAACTGAGAAAGTGATCGCAATGTTGCGACAGTTGAGCGCGCACGCGCCGCGTGTGGCCTTCAACTTCAAGTCGAGGAGATTAGTTCACGGTGGCTGCGGCCAAAGATTGACCACACGCGCATTGTCCTCCGCCACCGTATCGCCGCCGTCGAAGGCGATCGTGTACGATGTGCACGGGCCACCGGACACGGTGACTAAGTTGGTGGAGGTTCCGGCCGTTGAAGTGAAAGAGAAAGAGGTGTGTGTGAAGATGCTAGCTGCTCCTATCAACCCCTCAGATATCAATAGAATACAGGGCGTTTATCCGGTGCGGCCAGACCCACCGGCAGTGGGTGGATACGAAGGCGTTGGAGAAGTTCTCTCAGTGGGGTCCTCAGTCACCTCTCTCTCTTCTGGTGACTGGGTTATTCCCTCGCCGCCCTCTTTCGGTACTCTCTCTTTACCTTTTTTTTTTCCTCTACTTTTTACCTTATAATCAAATTTTCAATCAAAATAGGCTCTGTTTGGACGAGTTTAGAAATAATAATAATAATAATAATGACAAAAAAAATGCAATGGAAAATTATAAAAATTTAGAGAAACTAGGTGAGAGAGCTCAATAAATTCAAGGAAAATTCAAATTTTCATCTTATTTTCCGTCCAAACATACCCTTCGTTGTCTTTGATGAAACTAGTTTGTAAACTAGCTGAAGCTTATACGCTAGGAGCTGAAAATTTATAACTTACTGAATGGATAAGAGAGTTTGATAAAATTAGTTTATACAAAATGACACTATGTTACCTGGGTAAAATGAGATTTCAATGAGAAAAAAAAAAGTACTAAAATAAGTCTAAATGTCAAATAATTATCTAGGTTAATCTAGCGTATAAGCTTGTGAAAGTAGTTTTCAAGTGAAAGCAATTATCCCCTCTTTCTTAGCTAATATTTAAGATTGAGTTAGGATCAAAATTTAAATGGTTTAGAGCTTAGTTGAGCCTATTAGACGACCCAATATATTGGACCTTATCATATTATCCAAATTGTCCAACTCTGCAAGCTTTTAGATGTGTTAGACGTCAACACGGACTAGTAGTGGTATGAGCAAAATAATATATATGAATTGGGCAACTCGTGCCTATTAATATCTCCAAATCCAAGTTCTAAGAACCAAATCCAAATTCTAAGAATTTTGCAGTTTTCGTTGTTATATTTGGAAATTTTATTTATGTTGGCATACACAGGGACATGGCAGACGTATATTGTGAAGAATGAGAATGTTTGGCACAAGATAGAGAAGGGTGTGCCTATGGAATATGCGGCTACAATTACTGTTAATCCCTTGACTGCACTTCTCATGCTTGAACACTGTGTTACATTGAATTCTGGTACTTTTTTTTTTCTCTTACTACATTTGCTATATTTTCTATTTGTTTGTTAGTGAGCGGAATAAAATTTTATTTATTTTGGATGTCAACAGGAGATTCTATTGTGCAAAATGGGGCTACCAGCATGGTTGGCCAGTGTGTCATTCAGCTTGCCAAGTCTCGTGGAATTCACAGCATTAATATTATAAGGGACAGGTGCTCATTGGAAGGTTCTTTGCTAGTTTTATTATTAGCTTAGCTTTTGAGTGTTATCTTAGACTATGGTTTGTTTATTATAATTTTTTTTTTTCAATTTTTAAAATATAATTTGATTAACATATCCTTTTATTTTCATTCTGGCATATTAGTGAAAAATCTTAACTTTGCATCACAAATCCTTTTGATGCAGGCCTGGGGTCGATGAAGTAAAAGAAATGCTTAAGAATTTGGGGGCTGATGAAGTTTTTACTGAGAGCGAATTGGAAGTGAAGAATGTCAAGAGTTTCCTGGTATTCCTTGGCTTATTATGTTGTTGGTCTATGCTAAGTATCAATTTTTCAGATTAATGTTCACGATAGTCATTGGTTAAGCAGTTGGGAAGGGTGTTTTGGATGTCATTCGAGCTTTCTTATTTGAAGTTTTGGTCTTGCTTTTATTAGATGTACACAAAGTTGACAAAAAAATTATTTAGAAGCATTATTTATCTATATTGAATTCAGATGACTTATTTTGCATCAAATTCACATGGTAGGGTGGTATACCTGAACCTGCACTGGGATTTAACTGTGTTGGTGGCAATGCTGCTTCTTTGGTACTCAAGTTTTTGAGGTATAACGTAAGATATTGGGTTAAAAGTTTAAGATTGAAAACTTTCTCTTCTATTATGATGATTTAAGTTAGTTCATACATTCCAGACAGGGAGGAACTATGGTGACGTACGGTGGAATGTCTAAAAAACCTGTCTCTGTGTCAACATCATCCTTCATATTTAAGGTCAGGCATTAATTTTCCCTCTCATAGTTAGTTACTTCGGTTTCTTATGTGGCACCACCTTTGGTTAAAATCTTAGTATACCTTGGTTAGTGGCTGAGGTAGACTTTATATATATATATATATATATATATATATATTGAGAGAGAGAGGATCTATTTACTCCAAGAGTAAGTATTGGGGACTTATTTTTCATCTTCACCTTTGTAATTTAATGGTTTAACATACTAACTCATTTTAATGATTAGGTTAGAAGAAAATGAATGGTAAGGATAACGAGTGAGTCACTTATAAGTAGATCCTTTCTCATTTAAACTCATTAGATTACAAGAAAATTAATGAAAATAAGTCTCTTACACTTATTCTTGAAGTAAGTTGAATCATATTAAATTTCAATTGAAAGTTCATCTTCTGCTAATATTACATGTGAGGGATCTAGTTTGAACAAAGAACTAGTATGTGATTCTGATTAAAAAGGTTTCAACTATCAAGTTAAGAGTTCAGATCACTACAGCTCTCTCAACAGTTGATGATGTTGTCTGAATGTGCTGGATTTGGGCATAAATCATACTTAAAGTAATCCAAGCCACATATCTTAAGTTTCTTGAAAGGTTTACCTGATATCAACTTTTTTCTAGGGAGTTTTAAGCTCAATAAGTACTTGATAGTTCATGAACCTTCTAACAGGTTCACATTTGTAACTTATAAACCTTGCTTTTCACAAACAAAGATCAAACCTAGCAGTAAAAAGTGTCAAAAAGGAATTTTAGGTGTGTTCTACTCATACAATTTTGTCTAGAAGATTCAATGTAATTGAAGTTTTAGTAACAACTATAAGACATAATTCTAGATTCGTGGTTCTTTTGTGCTGAGAATCTGTATTGGGTGTTAGTTATCTCTTGCTGAAAAATTAATTAGAGATACCAAGATGCCCAGACATTTCCATGTTAGAATGAATGAGTTTTTAATATATACAACAAATATTGACGTGCTTGTTTGGGTGATTAAAACTACTCATGTTGGACCGAGAACAGAGGGAATTGAGATCCCTTAATTTCATGACGTATTTTTGGTCTGACGTTTTAATGCCATGAGTCTATATCACCTGTATTATTAATACAGTAGCCTATTAAACCACATATTTTCAGGAACTGTCCTTGAGGGGATTCTGGTTGCAGAAATGGTTGAGCGCAGATAAAGCTGAAGAGAGCAGAGGAATGATAGACAGACTTTTGAGTCTTGTTCAAGAAGGAAAGTTAAAATACAAGTATGTTTTCTTCTGTACATTTGAAGGGAAGGGGGGTGAATTGGGTTATTATATTCATTCTGTAAGGTCAACTTGATTTTAAAAGTTCACTTTCTGTCTCATTATTTGGCATACCAAATTCATATGATACTCGTTTTGTTTGTAGAATGGAATTGGCTTCCTTTGACGATTTCAGCACAGCATTGGATAAAGCGCTGGGAAAACTAGGGAGCCAACCTAAGCAAGTAATCAAATTCTAAATGTGTATGTTTCTATTAATTTATTTTGGATAAAAGTGTTCTGGAATTTACAAGAAAAAGCAATCTATGGAGAAAATTACTTCAAATGGATGTAGAATAGATTTTTAGCGCAAGGAATAAAAATTAGAGTTTAATTTTGATGTATCGTCATTGTAAAGATTTTACATTCCTAAACAATCAGAGACCATCTAAGCATGACGTTTAATTGGGTGTGGTGATAGTGTAAAACTGTTTTACATTATTAGTGCATTCTGTAATGAAAATAAATGGTGTTCAACTTGTGTATGTGAATCACTTAAAGATAAAATAAAAGAGAAAAAATAGTTTTTAGAGTGCTTAATCACCCCTCTAACATGATATTTTATTTATAATGATAAGAATATATACACTAAGTAGATGGAAGATAAAGTGGTAGAATTGTGAGCTAGAAGACATAGGTACAACTAATTAATAATTCAACACTTCCCCTCTGGATCATACAAATTGTGTATATCAAGCTTAGGATAAATGAATCCAATTCGGTGACCCCTTATGATTTTGTTAACACATTTGCAAGTTGGTCATTAAATCCAATAAAGTTCGTACAAATTTTTGTAGTCACCAATTTTTCTCGAATGAAATGACAGTCATTCTCAAAGAGTTTTGTTTTTTAATGGAATGATGAATTAGAGGTAATGTGAAGTGCAGTTTGATTATCACAGTATAATTTTATGGTCTAGATCTCACAAAATTTAAGCACTTGAAGGAATTGTTTCATTAATACAAATTTGCAAGTAAGAGATGTCATTCCCCTATATTCAATTTCGGTAATTGATCGGGTCACAACATTTTGTTTCTTATTTTTCTAAGAAATAATATTTCTTCTAAGTAAAACACAATACCATGTAATAGAATGTCTGTCAAAAGGGGAACTAGCCTAATCAACATCACAATATCCAAATATTTGAGTGTTGTTCCTATCTTCATATAACAACAAATCTTGTCCTAAAGCATTTTTCATATACCTCAAGATAAGAATGATGACATTCTAATGATCAATGCAATGAGTCTGCATGAACTGGCTAACAATACTAACTGTAAGAGACAAATTAGGTCTAGAAATGGTAAGATAGATAAGTTTTCCAGTCAATTTTCTATATCTTTTTAGTTCAGAGAATGGTTAACCTTGTTCGGTCATTAGTTTTTTATTTGGATCAATAGGACTGATTGTTGGTCTATCGTCAATCATACATGTCTCTTAAAATATCTAATGCATATTTACTTTGAGATATTACAACATCTTTTCTTGACTAAGCTACTTTAATACTTAGGAAGTATTTGAAACTCCTCTGTCATTTGAAAATATTTGCACAAGTGTTTCTTTAATTTATGCCTACAAGTTTTGCATTAAAATATAGAGTGGAGGAATTTGATTATTTAGATAAATCAAACAAATCTCAAGTATCAAATGTCTTGTAGGATCTCATTTGTTCTGAAGAAATTTTGACATAAATTTATTAATAAGAAATATCCTAGACCATTGCACGTGTTTATTTAGAAGATATTTTTGCAATCGGTTTCACCACAAGTATTTTATCACTTCCTCATTTTCTTTCAAAGTTTAATTTGCTTTATTTCTAGTGTAAAATGATTGTTGTTCGATTAATTTATTTCTTACTTGCGTCTGTAATGAATCATTTACACACTTTGTGGATTTTTTAATTTTGACTAACAAACATAAATGTTTCTCAATTATAGAGGATTTAGATAAAACTAATATCAATCATTCAATAATTAAAATAAGGTGAATTTCAATTAATGATCTCATATGCAATTTGAATTTTTAACATAATTTGTAACATTAATAAAAGTAAATTGTTGGAGAGTAAATGTGCAACAAAAAATAAAGGTGCAAAGAAAATAAATTATATAAAAATAAATTTAACTCATTACTAAGAATAAAACATGAATTGATAAAGAAAATTAATAAAGATGAAAAAGCTCTAGGAAGTAACCAATTAGGTTTACAGTAAAATCTAGAAATCGATCACTAATCCAATTGGAGTACCTCTACAGGATAGACCTCGACAGAAAACTGAAGAGTAATGGCAGCAAGTGATTGAGTTCAGTAGTTCCTCATATCAAATTATTGACTCTAGAGATATAGTAATATGGAGAAGACAAAATTGTTTCAAGCACCGACAGAACCGGAAGCACCATTTGTTTCAAACAGGGGAGGGCGGGTTATTCACATTTCATTTGATGGTCAGAGACGAATGGAAAACTAAGATGTGGTAATTCTAAGGATTCTTTTTGGGAAAAAGAGAGATGTCTCCTACGTTACCCGTACCATGTGGAAGTAGCGACGTAATTTCATAGAGTCATTCAGTCTGAATACTACATGAAGAACATAAGCCAGATGAAGGAACGGGAAGACCTAGGATGTAGAAAATCATAACATGAGCAGCAGATTTGGATTCCTATATACCCACTCGTGTCGTACTTCATTATGCGATATATATAAGATTCATCTGTATAGATATCATCAGCTACATCCAGAAAGACATATGTTTTGTAAGAAGCTTGTACCGTTTGAGAAGAGGTTTTGATTGATCAAAAAGAAGAATCTACTTCAACCGATACGCCCTTAGGCACGGTCATATATAACATAGAAATCATACTCGTGGACAATTAGCTATAGTAGCTGGTGCCGTAGCGAAACTAATTGCAAAAGAGGCGAAATCGACCACATTAAAATTACCTTCTGGGGAGGTCCGTTTGATATCCATGTTCACTTTCATATTCTTAGTGTTTTTAAGAATATAAATCTTCGTATAATTTGACAATCATCATATTTATATTTCTTTTATGTAATCATTAAGACACTTTTAAAAATAAAATTAAAATCAAATAAAATATAATAAATAAATTAAAATTCATCAACTATTCTTAATCATTGTTACCACATAATATACATAAACACACATATTATATCATAAGATCATAATCATTTCATTGTATCTCTTGATTATATAAATTCTTCTTTTGCCTCGTTTCTCTTAATTTTACAATATTTGACTTGATAGTTTCAATTGACTATGTTATACTTTCAAATGAATTTTCCTTTATTCAACTTAATCTTTCTTTTCAATATCATACGTTCTCGAACATTTCCGAATTATAAGCATTAAACTTTAATTTGTACCTCCACACAATTACAGATTAACCTTCATATTCTTAACTACATCTTTTAGTATTTGAATTTCAACCTTTAATAACTTCAATTTTCTTCTTTTCATTATCATTATTTTCTTTTAGACCTCCAGTCCTTCTCGTATATTTATTTCGATACATTTGCAAATTTGTCATTAACAACTTCATTGTTTTTAACTGGAACAACTTATTTTTATCGAAAATTCTTTTGCAAAGTTATATTGCCAATTCTTGTAGACTCACACCCAATGTTTAATAGTGAAATTCCATTCAATCTTGACAGAAATTATCAGCTCAAGAAAATATAGCTAAACTAATGCTTATAAATGCAAACAAACATGAGATTAAAAAAAATTATCATAAAATTTTGGGCAATAAATTATTACATTATTTAGTGATTACAAAATCACCTATTACTTTCAAATATCATCTTTATAGAACCTTTCCTCAAAGAACCAACGCCTTTGCCACATAAAGCAGGGCCTATAAAGCGCTTTCCTTTGCCAATATGTAGTCCACAGCTTCTTCTACAGTATCAACCACCTGCGAAAGAGTTGTTGTCTCGTAATCACTACAAGGTATCTTCATTATGGTAACGTTAGTCACAAATACAACAATATACGACTGAATTGCCTTGATTACGACTACCCACAAATTTCAAACTATGACTTGGACAATTCAATCCATGCTGCATTACAATCATGAGCACATTCCTTTAGAAACATGTGTTCTCGATGGCTATGGTGACATAATGCCAGTAATTCATAACACCATCAATCCTCGTCCTTATTCCCAAATGTGAAAAAAACCTAAAGATCCTACACAAATAATAATGTTCATCCCGGTTCTTTATTGTATGTCTTACTCGACTCAAATTGTAAATCTATATCAGGCTATCACTAGTTTCCATTGTCGCATTACTAGAGGAAGTACAACAATTAAGGTCACGTATATATGAAACTTTTCTAGAGGAACATAAGGAATTACCAGATCTGCTGAAAATTTGTCATGATTTTCCTTCCCCTTGAAAACTCCAGTTCTGGTGAGAATAGAAAACCAGGGATGCCCAGTCTGAAATGTAATATTTTCATTATTAGTGTCATTTGTCAACAGATAACTTTTACATATACCACAAGTGAAATCCAACTCCATGAGACATACCTGTCTAGCACCTCTGATATCAACTGCAGGATTATCTCCAATCATGTATAGTGTTTTAAAAGATGAAATGTTATCTTCATTTTTATCATAGAAATCATCATAAATTGATGCCACAAGTTTCTGTAAGACAATTTCTGCATTCTTGAATACAGATGTATGTGGTTTGCCAAAACAGGTATACTCCAAGCAATGAGGATGAGTCCTGCACATAAAAGCAAATAATGGTTAGAGATAGATGAAGATTCTTAAGAACCTAAATATGAATTTAATTGGCACCAATGCAATTAAACTAATTTAGTTTCTATTTTTTTTATCCATGGACATGGTCCACCAATTTCCTAAAGCTTTGCCTCAAACTAATTTGACAATAGCTTCTTGTATTTTCATGAATGAACTTATGTTTTTAAGTATACAATTTAAAGGAACTAAAGTAGAGAAGACCCATTAACAGTAGATAATAGGCATAATCAGCACCAATGCAATTAAACTAATTTAGTTTCTATTTTTTTATCCATGGACAAGGTCCACCAATTTCCTAAAGCTTTGCCTCAAACTAATTTGACAATAGCTTCTTGTATTTTCATGAATGAATTTATGTTTTTAAGTATGCAATTTAAAGGAACTAAAGTAGAGAAGACCCATTAACAGTTAGATAATAGGAAATCTTACCTATTGAAGATGGATTCTAATGCAATCCTGAAAGCTCCCATGCCCAGACGTTCAGAAGGAAATTTAGTCTACCTTTTGTGGGACCTTGTCAGTTTGTATAGAATTTCAAAAGGGCTCCATATAACCTGTATCTATCTGAAAATATCAACAGAAAAAATCAACCAACCTGGTATTCAAGGTCATCATTTGCAAAATATATGTGTGGTTGAGGTCCAACATTTCTTCCAGGAAGGCCTCCTGTTTTTAAGATGTCGCAGAGAACCTGAATGAAAAGCCTTGGTCATTCACAGGTTCATCAAATTCATGCAAATAAAAAAAAAATCGAATCTATGAATATCTTAAAACTGAAAGTAGAGATTTTGATTATATTTGCTCTGGCTTATCAGAAACACAAGCCAAGTCAAAAATAATTCAAATACTAAAACTAGTAAGGATATCAGCAGCTTGGAAGTCTCCAGTGTCAAGCTTAGTTTCATGCTTCTCTTAATTTTGGATCCTTTTACAATATGCAAGTATATGTTATAGTATTTACTTATCCCGTATATCTTCTTTTTGTTTGCTTCTTTTGATTTAATTTCATTTCTTTTGATCTAGCTATGAAGTTAAACAAAGCCAAGCTCTATCAATAACAACCACTCTCAATTACTTTCCCAAGAAATGAACTATGTGAATACGACAACATATCTGATGTATTAAAATCTACATGTAGTTTAACACTAACTATTTTTCTCTATTCAACATCCATCGAAGTGAATGGATTTGATCCCTGAACCACCATGTAGGTAACAAAGGAGTCTAGCATTTTAGTTTCCTATTAAGAAAAAGACCAAAACCATTTATTACTAATTGATATTTTGATATTTAATTTCATATACCATTGTGCAGTAGCTAAACTTTCCATTAAGTTTTCAATGCTTGTGGTATAAACCGTTTGATTACGTTGCTGCTCATCCTAATGGTGAGATTCATGTAAAGAAGCCACAGAATTTGTGTAAATTTATGTACATCACTATATATGTAGCAAACATAAATGAAAGACAGCTCATGTGGATCACTCAAAATCTCTGTAACCTGTATGTCCCTGCTCCAGTCAACAGGGTCACTAACTACAAATGCTGCTTGAACCCTTTTAGATAAGACATCATTCCTTGGAACACTCTCATTAAACTTTGAATTCTGTGTAACAGCCAGCTTGGTTGTCCATTTCTTGTATGGAGCCAGTGGATCAATGTTTTCAAAGCAGGAGGCATATTCATCAATTGAAAGAACATATCTGAATATAAAAATCAACAAGAACATGATGATAAGAGACTGAAGATGATGTCGGATTGCTTGCTCATCATTTCCATAAAAATATCAAACATGTCAGTTAACTTAAACCTACTTAAAACCATATTCAGTCATCACAGCTGCAGGTTCCCCTTTTCCCACAGCAACAATGAGATCGTTCTCAAATCTGTATGACATAAAAATTCTATGAGACAAGGACACTGAAGTGCATGTCAACCTAATTGGTCTCACCATGTACTTGTGCAAAAGATGGTTCAGCGTGTAATATTCATATGAAACTTGATCAGAAGATGTATAATCATACCTCTTGACCAATTGTTTAAATGGTGAATGGCCCTGTAAAACCTGTGCAGCAATCAGATTTGGTTCAGGGAAGAACACTTGCAATTTCAACAAAATTTAGGGCAACAACGTGGCAAGGCAAAGGCAATCACTTGTGACTTTCCTGAGACGCATGCATGCAGCAAACAAACCAGCAAATAAAACCACATACACATATGCATCAGTATAGAGGGGAAGAGAAAGAAAGAACGGTCAGATACTATAGATTACTTTATACTTCTAAAATCAACAATTCTAAATCCTCACAACCAATCCTCCTAATTACTAAATCCAGAAAGTATAAAATGCTTTCTGATGTTCATAAAACATCTACTGTTACATTATGCTCTCAAAAGGATATAGCAAGACTATTTGAATATACCTGCGAAGGTGAGATATCTATACCCAACAGTTGACTTAGTTCTAAAGCTCTTTTTGCTTCAGGAAAACCACCACCTACATAAAATTAACATCAAAAGAAGTGGTACATTATTTCAAACAATTTATCAGCGCGGGACCAGTCACTAATTGAACCACAATTATGTAATAAGGAAAATTAAAATATCCGTTAAAACCTAACGACACAGATAAGCAATAGAAAACTGAACAAAAAAAAATTAGAAGAACTCACCATTGGTGAGGAAAACGTAAGGAATTTTCAATCTACCTAAAAACATAAGAAGATCAACAAATTTATGATTCGGCAACCGTGAATAACAAATGAAGAAAACGGAAACAGATAGTTTTTTGTTTTTCTCTTTGGTTTTTACCATCAACGCCGTATAATTTTCTCAGCGCTCCGGGAGAACCACCGACAGGGGAATTTCCGAGCAAAACGACACCGTCGATGTCGAAAGAGATACCGAATGAAGGCCTGCAAGGTCTGGATCAGTTAACATATTCAAACCGTGAAATTAGAAGCGTAATGATGCAATGCTATTGTGAATGAGTAACGTGAGATTTCACGATTGACGAACCGTTCGGACCGGTGAGAGAATGCGCGCGATAGTAGATACGAAAACACGGTTCGCTTTCTAGCTTTGGTTAAGAGATGGAACCTCATTGTTGCAGGATTTCCCTTTTGCAACTTCAGAATCAGCAAGAGTACGAGAACAATAGTTAGTTTGTTGATCACTTCCCCATCCAGAACCATTAGTTGCTATGTGTGTCCTAATATGTCAAACGGGCTCGCTTTCAGTAAATTTAGATTTGGGCTTAGCCCGTAAAGTAGTGACTAGCCCATAAAATATTTCTCTTTAACACTCTTTTTTTTGGACTTTTTCTTTCTGCACCCTATACTTTTTTGTTGTACCTTTATGTACATGTAAAAATATAATATTGTTTTTAATATAAATTTTATAAATAACTAAAACGTTTATCAGTATAATAATTCCATTAATCATCCAGAAATTGACACATTTAAATTTTATTAAATTAGTTTCATCAACACCTAAGATATTATTATAAGATGAAACCATTATATAGATATATTATTTTTTGTGAAATAAAATAGTTAATCTATTTTATCTCAAAAATATCATAAGCTCTCTAAAGTGATATTTCCATAGATATTTTGAGATGAATTAAAAAAATATATAGAAATATTCTTGAACGAACTTTCCAAAAACTTAATCCTAAAATATTTAAAAAAAAATCAGAAAAGATCATTCCGAAATATTTTCAATTTAACGTTCCATAAACTTTGAGAAAAGAGAATACAGAACTTATATCATATAAGTGAAAAATCATTTTTAATTCAACATTCCATAAACTTGTGTTAAAAGAGTTGACTATCAAACCACATGTATTGAAAAAAAAAAACATTAATATTGCATTATCATAAAATTATGATCATATTTTAAAAACATCACTAATTTGAGTTCATTCAGTGATGGCTACCCTTACTTAACAATTCAAATGCGTATTGAGGAAGTAACGTGGCTGTTAGTCAAGAACTTTCTTCCAGTGAATCTAGAAGAACCATGCATATTAATTATTTATTTCCAAGTTTTTGGCCACGTGTTTCTGATGGAATTTCGATCGATTTCGATTCTAAGGGTGTTTTGGTCCTGATCAAATTTCTACCACGTAAGTTCTTTTTTACTTAGGCTAGCAATTTGATTTTCAATCGAAAACGTGTATGAGAATCGAAAACTATAAGTATCAAGAAATCCTATTTTTGGTATTTTATGTTTAAAATGCTCGACTCCAACAAAGCAGTAAAGTATCGAATCGAGAAAAGAGAATATTAAATTACAAGAAAGTGCGAAAACCCCGAATTTGCAAGAAATTAAGTTTGCAAGATAAATAAAGGACAGGAAATCGAAATGTGCGGGAAATGTAAATTGCTAAAACCCATTAAGATTGCACAAAAAGTAAATAACAGGAAATCGAAATGTGCGGGAAATGTAAATTGCTAAAACCCATTAAGATTGCATAAACAGTAAATAACAGGGAATCGAAATGACATTGAATGTAATATACAAGAATATGAAATTGCTGAATTGAAATGGCTCGAAAGTAAATTACCAAGGAAAATACAGAAAGCGATAAATGTACTCAGTGAGCAAGGAAATCCAGATTTCCAGAAACTTCATGGTGTTCGTCGTTTCTCCGGTAGACTTTTCACTACTGATTCTGTTCTCTGCCAATTTCTGCTCCCCCCCTTGTTTCTCCTTTCTTTGTTCTATTTATAGGGCGTTGTTCAAGCTTCCTAAGAGCAGTTAACGAGACTGCTACCACGTTCTTCGTGCGTATGACAGTTTCTTTTTACAGTTTTCCCATGTTCTCACGATCTTCAACTTTTCCATCACTTAGAAACTGCTTTCCGTACGTGCGTTTTGACTACTTTCTTTCAAGGTTTAACCGAGGATATGATATCTACGAAAACGAGCCTTCCCTTCGATTTAATCGAGAACTTTGCACACCTGGTATCGATTTATTTTAACCTTAACTCCATGTTAAGCTTTCGACTATTACACCTACTCTTCCGATTTTACCTTTTGATTTTATGTGTCACATCCTTTATAATTGGACATCAGGAAAGTTCCCTTTCGATTTATTTCTCGATCAGACTTCTCGATTCCACACTAACAAAATGCCCCCTTGGAAGAATATGAATATTTTATTTATATTCTTTCAACATTTCCCGCCTAAGTGTTCGGAAGCCCATAGAACTTAGGGCTTAGGGTTTCTGGGGTTTTAGGTTAAGGGGGTTTTTAGGTTTCTTTTCCTTTTTACGTCGTCATCATGTCAGTCTGCTGCTTTCACAGTACGCTGCATTTATTACCTTTCACCTCCATCTTTTCATCTTCATATACGATTTCCCCTTAACCTCTCAATCTATCTTTACTTTGCTTTACGCGAACTTTTATCCTCTTTTGCAATCTTGTCTTCTTCCCTGAGCTCTTGCCTTCATCTCTCGTTACCTTACCCGTCAACTTCTTCCTTACTATAATGGCCTCTTCGTCCAAGTCATCTCGATTTCTCGGTTCCCCCTCTTACCTCATCCGTTGCTACTTTACCGGAGATTAACA